CTCGCCCCGCTCTCTTTATCGAGCATGCATCAGAGCAGACTTGTGCGTTCTTCAGACTGACCGCTTCCCCAGAATGCCCTGCGGCCTCAGCTTGATTCGAGACAGCGCTCACAGTGGTAAGTTAAACATTCCCTTTTCTGCTGCTGTTGTTCTTCAAAAGTACGTTTTGAAATCGTTTGAGGCGATAACATTATACATTTAAGCCCCCCTGTGTGGCCTGTTTACAGAGTTAGTGCGAAATTAAAAAAAAAAGTGCGACGTTGAGCGGACCAGACCGCAGCCAGGGCTAATGTTACCCCGTTTGTAGTGCACTTCTCTCGGTCTAGTTATGTGTGAACTACCGCTCGTTCTGATGGCGGTTTTTTGCGGTTCGGTAATTTTTTCAAATATTTTTTAAGCTTTAGAAATTAAAAATATTGTTTTCAAACTGTTTTGTGTAGGGAATAAATAGTTTTGACTGTTAAAGAAATGCTAAACAATGTTGCATGTGATGACGTCACGAGTACGCTTCTGTTCCAATATACATACGTGTTTGCGTGCTCGCATTCTCGTCAAGTCCGATCTTCCTACGTTCTCGCCAAGAACGGACTTGACGAGAATGCGAGTACGTACTCGCGTTCTCGTGAATTGAGAAACGGCCCATATGCGACCTGTGTCCGATCTTTTCATAACAATCTGAACAACACAGATCCGATTTTTTTTTCCAATGCGACCCAGGCCACTTGGCTCTGTGGTCCTGAATCCGATGCGAATCCGACCTTTTTAAATATGACCTGTGTCTGAACGGCCAGGTCGCATTCATCCGACCTGAACGCCACTAGTAGCCGACAAAGGTCACTATTCTGCGTCTTGCTATGAAGAAGCAGCAATAAAAACAACAACCATGGAGGACGATGATGCGAAGAGTAGTATTTATGTTTAACCATCTAGAAAATATTGAGTTTTTAAGGTCGGGAAAGATCGCTAGATGCGCTCCAGTACTACCATCCATGTTTACTTCTGTAAACAGAGAGTTTGTGATGTCATTGCGTCCTCTACTGCGCATGGGGGACACTTGTGTTGTTTAAATGCAGTTCACACAGGAGATCACATGCATGTCGCATATATTTGGAAATATGAACGGCAACGCAAAAAAATCATATTTCACAAAAAATCGGAATTAATCATTAAAGTCGTAGGGAAGCGGCTGTTCCAATCATTGCATTTCCGAATTCTCCCGAATGGTGCCCGAATTTACACGAGTGAATAAAGTGAATGTGATTGGTCGATTATCAAGGGGGCGGGATTGTTGTGGCGGAAGGTTTGCAAGCAAGTTAGGTTGCAGCCGGTTCGTTGGAAGCATCTTGCTAACCAGTTAGCATCTTAGCGCTAGCAGGTTCCCGATGGGAAATTCCATTGGGACCAAGTAGCACTAAATTGGTGACTTAGAAACGACGCTGTCAA